TTGTAACTATATCTGTGTAGGGGGGTTAGTACAGACCTTTGTAACTGTATCTGTGTAGGGGGGTGGGGGGTGGGGGGTAGTACAGACCTTTGTAACTATATCTGTGTAGGGGGGTTAGTACAGACCTTTTGTAACTATATCTGTGTAGTGGGGTTAATACAGACCTTTGTAACTATATCTGTGTAGGTGGGTTAGTACAGACCTTTGTAACTATATCTGTGAAGGGGGGTTAGTACAGGCCTTTGTAACTATATCTGTGTGGGGGGGTTAGTACAGACCATTGCAACTATATCTGTGTAGGGGGGTTAGTACAGACCTTTGTAACTATATTTGTGTAGGGGGTTATGGGTGGGTTAAATGTGGGGTCTAAACCAATCAAACTCCTTAGATTTATCACAACTGTAGAAATTACATGATAAACTAAATATTATGTATCAGGATTGTCCAATATTACACCAATTTCAATTTGGTGTGCAAGAAAATGCTGAAAATGTTCTGGTCTTTATGTTCATTTCAAGCTACAAAAAAGTTTAAGGAACTGTTTTCCTTAGATAATGGTCATATAAAACCATTTGAATTAGTATACTAGTTTGTTATTATTTTATATGAAGATTTACACTGAGCTATGTCTAGGTTTTGATATATATATATGTGATATGGAGGATGTGGTTATACTTGTAACAGGGTATGCTGGCTCCATGTGTGAGGTGGAGATTGACGAATGCGCCACAGACCCATGTCGTAACGGTGGTACTTGTGAGGACCAGATCAACAAGTTCCGTTGTTTCTGTCCAGCAGGTAGGTTTGGATTGGTTCTTCACATCTAAGCCATCGGATAGCCCATCTGACACCTGTCAACTCCAAAAAAAATGTTAACTTCATTTTATCATGAAGGATAATGATATTTGAAACAATGTTTTTTTTCAAGATCTGTTCAATACTTGTCTTTATGCATAAATGTTACATATTTTTATGTAAATATATGATTTGAGAGTTGTATGCTAGTATAACACGGATGAGTACCTCAGGTACTTGGCCTGATGATTTGTATGTTACCATGGTGTAATGATGGCTACATACAGAGATACAATCTTGCCTGTCCTTCTGTACCCAGGTTTTACCGGCACTACCTGCAGCCTCAACATTGACGAATGCCTGAGTAACCCTTGTGTAAACGGCGCTATTTGTAATGACACCATTGACGGATATATCTGCAACTGTTTGCATGGTAACCACCCACACTGTGTTCCCCTCCCCTCTTCCTGTCTCCCTCTTAAAATGGTTAAAGTGTTTACTAGTGGTTCCTCCACTAAAACAGTCTCCTCTCTAGTTGTATGGACCATTCAAGCAATATGCAAAACAGTATCCTGTACATGTGGAAATGTTATTTTTATGAATCCCTTTTCAGTCAATGTATATCTAGCCCTTTATATAATCATATAGTGCTACCAAACAATCCCACATTTTCTGCCAATTGTTCAACGATTGTTTAATATTGATGTGTTTTGTCTTTTACTGTTCTAGATAACTCAAAGATTGTTTGATTTTAACATGTGAATGCTATGTATGATTTCTACCACTGTCTGATGATACTTGATTGCTTTACCGATTGACAACTGTATACTGATGTATGTGATGCTACCTCATTGCCTGTTCAACAAAACTCTTGTATTCTATACCCAAAACCTTTCATACTCCAAATATTTCCTAAGTAAATAGAATGCAAACCATTTTATAAGATTTTTGACTTGTTTCCATACTTTACTACAAGTTAAGAAGTTAACAGTGATGTTTTAAGTTATGATAATTTGACCTTTCAACCTTGTGTTTGTCAGGATTCACTGGGGACCGATGTGAACATGATATTGATGAGTGTGCTGGCATCAATTGTCACTACGGTAACTGTGTGGATCTCCAAGGCAACTACCGGTGTGACTGTTACCGTGGATACACAGGCAAGCACTGTGATATGGACATTGATGAGTGTGAGGCATCCCCATGTCAATATGGTGGAACATGTGTCCAACTCCGAGATGGTGGCGGTTACGATTGCCAGTGTCCACTTGGAACCTCAGGTAAACATGCCATGCTAACAACGCATATTTATTACTTTGTATGTCGGTCTTCAGGAGAGGAGAAAGTCATCTTCACAATGGCAAAATGTCACAAACAGTACACACAGCAAGTCTCATTATGGTGATGACAAAATCATTTGGAATTCGTTTGAAGTTGCATAGGATAATGCTTACATTTTATCTTAGAAATTAACAATAGTAACACCTGTCGTTAAGAGTTAATCGGTGTCCTCTGCGACCTTGTGAGTACCTATATCATACCTTCACACAGGTATTGGTAATTAAAAGATGAGAAATCCGCTGTAGTGTAAGGTTCCCACCCAAAGATTCATGGATGGATAAACACATGTTACATAGGCACAAAAATCATGTTTTATTCATGCATGAATGTAATTTATCTGTGTTTATGGCTGGGGTGATCTAACCAACGATGAGACTGTTGTACTAAGCTCGTAGATAGCAGCAGATACAGATATAGCCTACCTTTTATACCACCGGTTTGTAAATCATGCACTTATTCAGTCTTATCTTACTCGATTATAAAATCATTTGAGTCATCCTTGAACACTATTGCCACCCCCAATTTCATTTCATTGCAGATGTTTACAAAGTAATTGTTATACAGTCCAAAATGAGACATATTTATGACCCAATGTACTTTGAAGTCAATTTGTCAAAATGAAAATCAGATATAATTACAGCATTAAAAAAAGTAGATTTATTTTAAAATGGCAGATGAAGGGGTAAGGGTTTTTGGTTGCTGTAGATAGTGTCTGTTGTGGCGTCGGTAGGACTGTTAGTCTGGTCATCCTTCTCTCTGTCTCCAGGCAGTGTAAAACAAGTATAAAACAAAGAAAGCACCGTAGTCCAATATTTTTATAAGTTATTTTATATTCTATGACAATGATTTGATGATTAATTGAGGTCAAGGTCATTATCAGAGTTAGATTATCAGTGAGAAGGTTTAAAGGTTGTCTAAGGATAGACAGTAGCTGTATGATACGTACACTGGAGGGGTTAACAGTTAACCTAACATAAATAAAAAACAGGCATTAATTTGTCATCTCCTGTATATGTTTTATCAAGAACACTATTTTTTCTATATTTTCTCCAAAACGTGTGATTTAAGTGTTGTTGCTGTTCTGTGTCTCATCATACATAGTATACCCTTTTACTAACAGTAAAATATAACGCTAACAGAAAATGTGGTGGTTTTGTCCATGTTTAGATGTGCTGCACTTGCATTGATTGTAAATACTTGATTACCTGGGGTTAGAAAGAAAGTAATTTATGAAGTAGATGTGAAATTGTGTCACAGTAAGGTAACCGGTACTGAACCCTCATACTTAAATGTCCCCGTACCTTAATCAGATATGTGCTCGATGGAGCATGACTGAGGTAGAACTGGGTCGTCCCAGGTAGGTGGTACAAGGTGAGTCACCATTGACGAGTGAGATAACACGACAAATTGCCCTAATCCCCGCCTATAATTCTACCTATTGGTAGGTAGAACCCATTGTCACAACGCTACAACTCACTAACTTGCCTCAGGGATTAAAATTTAAAAGATTGAAAAAAGTAATATTATCCTGATTGTAGCCTTTGTTTGGTTGTTAAAACTCTCAGAGTCAAACCTGATACCAAGATTAGTCGTATAAAGTGGACTTTAATATTTCGGATTTTGATTTGATGTGAAAAATCGAGAGAAAGAGGCACATGCAGAGCTTTCCCACGACCAAGACTGTTTATTACCTAAATAAAGATGAACGTTGCTTCTTTGGTAGAGAGTGGAAGATGAGTACATAGCCTGTATATTTTTAATAGATATTATCTGACTGTTTACATAAAATCATCAAATGGAACACTAATTAACAGAAAATATTGACAAGAAATTGCCAATAACATTGGTATGACAATAGAGGATGATTCATCAAGGTGGGATGATCAGTGAAAGGCTTGAGATCGGGGACTGATTTATCTCAGATCTCTTTTCATCTCTCGTTAAAGATGTGGAATGTTTTTTGTAATAAATGACTCATTTAACAGTGTATGTAGATTATCAAAAAAAATCATATTCTCTACTTTTTTTTAACCATTAGTTTACTGGTAATTCAAATTCAATTCTAAAATTTCTTAAATAATACACAGGATTTTCATATAAAAAAAATGAAGATTTTTAGAGAAATGTTCAGTAATCTCAATGCTTGTAATGTTTTTTTACAGGGAATCAAATGTTAGAAACTTTTAATAACTTGAGAGGATTAGTGCTGCATTTCATCTATGTATATCCCCGATCATGCTCAAAGGGGGGATAATAGCATTTGGCTGTCACACAGTAACAAAGCCATTCTAGATTACATATTTAGACCAGTGATTCCATTTTACCATACCATTTTAACTGCAGACATTTAGCCTATCCAAATCCTGATTAATAAGGTGATTTAAGGAACTTTTCAATGCTTATGATTAGGTAAAGATTAGATTTGAAAGTTATGTGTTATTTAAAATTTAAAACACAAGATTTTCTTTGTGAACTGAAATTGCATGTTTATGATTGTATATTTTCTAAATCTCTACGTCCCCAACAAAGACATAACACTTAAGTTTACTCCTTAGCTTAATGCTACTTTTATTTGATAAAATAATATCGAAATGAAAGAAAAATTGTTTTCCCAGCAAACGTTAATGTTCCTTAAAACAAAGTGATGTAATTATAAGATAATTTGTTGATGGCTTTTCACACGTTATCTGTTTCCAGGTCTGAACTGTGAGAAGAATCACAATGAATGTGCTAACAACCCCTGTTTAAACGACGGAATCTGCCAGGATGGCATCCACTCCTACTCCTGTACCTGTGAACCAGGCTATACAGGTAAAAATCCCTCCTTTATAAAAACATCAGGTGCTTCAGGTGTCACTGCAAAGGGCATCAGGTACAAGACAGACATGTCTGAGATTTGAGTTCAATTAGGGAAGAGGAGGAGGGAGGATTTGGAATAACTTATAATACCTGTAGTTATTACACCTGTTTGGTGATAGAGACAGCAGGATAACTGATAGCACTTGTTCTACTTAATTCCTGTGATTTGTAATTTGGTGATTTGTCGCTTGATATATAAGTAAGTGTGGATCTATTTATCAGAAATGTACAGATGTTGTAATAGAATTGGAAAATGTTCAGGAAAATTTATATTTGAATATTTAGCTTAAAGATGGTAATGAGAAATAGAATCATAATTTTTTTGATATTTCATTTTTTTATTGATTTTCATGTGAACAATTACATTAAGACAAGAGACTAACCTTACATTACATAACAATTCATTACATTACAATACCCATAGGATTATATACATGCTTGAATTCAACATGAACACTGCTAAACATTTTTTTAAAGATATTTATTAACATACCCTCATATACCTCCACCTTCATTGGTGGTTTAATTAAATCTTAACACAATAGTTTCAGGATAAAATATTCAAGTTCACTTTGAAGCTAATTGTTCACCTTTTTCTAGCAGTGCCTTTATTCAAGTTAATTGTTAGCTTAGCTATAGATAAGTACACTTAGACGAATAGACATACATATTCATTACCATAACGACAAAGCCTTTGTTTATATTTCACTTTGTTCCTCCCTTTGGGATAAGGCATGCCATCCTCCCCACCTTGTTAGGAATTTTCTGTATTCATTTCTTGATTTATACCTAGCCTCATAGTGTTGACATATGCCTGATTTAATAGAATCATGAATTTGTCACATAAGCAATAATCCAGTGGTTAAGAAGATCAGTGTAAAACTGTCTTTTATATTTGGGGTGATATTTGATACAAGATTCTGTACCCCCAGGACCTTGGTTGCATTTTGTCTGCTGAATTCAAATCTATCTGATTTCTACTTGTACAGGGAAGAACTGTGAGATTAACATTGACGAGTGTGCCTCCAACCCATGTCACAACTCGGGCAGGTGTGTGGATGGTATAAACGGATTTCACTGTAACTGCCCAGCAGGTTACTACGATGAGCAGTGTTTGTCAAATATAGACGAGTGCAACAGTAACCCCTGTCTCCATGGCGGTCGATGCAAGGATGGTGTCAACAGGTAAATAATAATAAAAAGCATGAAACCCCAACAAAATCATGTGACCTAAGAAAGAACATGAAACCCTAACAAAATCATGTGACCTTAGAAACAACATGAAACCCCAACAAAATCATGTGACCTTAGAAACAACATGAAACCCTAACAAAATCATGTGACCTAAGAAAGAACATGAAACCCTAACAAACATAATCCTGGACATGTTTAAAGGTTTTAAGCCATTTTCATGCTTATATTATCTGGGTAAAATAACATAGAAAGAAAAAGTGACAATTTTTAAATTAGAAGCAGGAAACCCTGATGGTATAAAGGGAGACAACTTTCTGAAGGTGTCTTACTCTTTCTCTTTTAGGTTTGACTGTTTGTGTCCTGATGGGTATGAGGGAGCTCGATGTGAGTCGCAGAAGAATTACTGCCAGTCCAATCCATGTCAGCATCGTGGTACATGTTTGAAACTCCTTGGCGGCTACACCTGTCAATGCCTGGCCGGTTACACAGGTACGCACCACGCATCTCTGCATTTGAGAAATTACAACAGCCTGAGTCTTATGAAGAAGGCTGTTACATAGAAATGCATTTGTTAACTATGATGTATGCTTATAAAGTATGCTTACAAAGTTTTGGTTTTTTAATTATTTAATTAACTTCGGAATGATATCTTTAAGAGAAAGGATTTCTTAATCTCATCTGGAATTTCAATCTCTATTCTAAATAATAAATCATTTTAAAAAAGTCAGTTTTGAAGAAAATATGGATTGACAATAACAAACAGATTAATTTCAAATATTAACAGTCCTTATGAAGCTTATATGTATGCAGAGCTTAGACGTGATCACTTTTCTGTTTAACAGGTATCAACTGTGAGATAAACATTGATGAGTGTCGCAGTAACCCATGTGTTCACGGTAGCTGTATTGACCTGGCCAACAGCTATCAATGTCACTGTCAGGTACCCTGGACTGGCACCAACTGTGACAAGAAAATGGATCCCTGCAGCTCCAACCCCTGTACCAATCATGCCACGTGTACCAACGACTATGACTACAACGACTTCTCATGTAGCTGTCAACCCGGCTACACAGGTAAGCTTTTAGTTATTCTTACACATTCAGTCCAACAAGACTGTCTATTGAAAGATATAAGCATGACTGCCTTGGAAAAAAAATCATATTAATGATAAAAATACCCATTTATATAGCACTTTATCCTGCTGAGTACTTGACAAATCAATTTTTCTAAAAAGGCATATATAGTAAAACTTAGAATATACATGCACAATTAGTAAAAAAAAACAACATGAAATACGATTTCAAGGATACTGTTTCTGCTTTGTATCATCTCTGGAGATGATGTATCCATTGCATTCCAAAACATTGATTGCTTTAGATCTTACAAAAAGGACTTATACTAGTATGACCCACTGAAGTCTTATGGAATGTCAGCTACAGCATTGTTTCAGAATCAATGAGATCTACTTTATTTATAAACGATTGAATGAGTGATGTCACCATCTCACTGATATTTATTCTGTCCCCAGGTCGCTACTGCCACCAGGATGTTAATGAGTGCGAACACTCGCCTTGTACTAATGGTTACTGTACCAATACCGTGGGTTCCTTCAACTGTACTTGTCGTGTGGGTTTTGAGGGGAAGTACTGCGAGCTCGACCACGATGATTGCTTCCCGGACCCATGTATGAATGGTGGCACATGCTTTGACAAGACTAACGAATACACTTGTGTGTGTCGTAAGGGCTATACCGGCACCAATTGTGAGATAGAGATCAATGAGTGTAATTCCAACCCTTGTCAAAACCAGGCCGTTTGCACAGATTATGTTGACTCCTACGTCTGCTCCTGTCGTGCAGGATTTAGTGGTGTCCACTGTCAGAACAATGACGATGACTGTACATCCAGGTAGGTCTCATATTTAAAAGTATTCTACAACGACTACCGCTCCTCATTCTTTTATATAACTCAAAATTTCATGTTTGATAAGCAAATAAAGCCAAATTACTAAAGTATGTGCAGGCCGTAGATTATCAAGAATTGTGCCTATTCTGTCCTCTTACAACTCCTTGAAATATGACGTATGATTGTATTTTTAGCTCCTGTCTACATGGCGGTCACTGCATTGATGGCATCAATGACTACAAGTGTATGTGTGAACCAGGTTACACTGGCTCCAACTGTCAACATCGCATCAACCCTTGCGATTCCAACCCCTGTATGGACGGTGGTACCTGTGATAACCAGGGCTCTGCCTTCAAGTGCTACTGCCCCTATGGCATGACAGGACCTCGTTGTGAGGCTTTTGTTGACTGGTGCACTGACAACCCATGTAGGAATGGCGCCACCTGTTCACAGGAGGCACACTTGTACAAGTGTTTATGTTCGCCAGGCTGGAATGGAGCAAGGTGTGATATCAGTGCCGTCACTTGTCGCGCTGCAGCCAGCATAAAAGGTCAGTACAAGTTACACACATGTTTCTGTACTTGGAACTTGCATATTATGCTGTGACTAAATTAGAATTCTAGGATATGAGTTGATTTTGTTTAATCAATTAAGGTGCTTAAATATTTTCATGTTTCAGGTGTCCCTGTAACAGATCTTTGCGAAAATGGAGGTATCTGTGTCAACGTAAATAATAGCCACAGGTGTAAATGTAGCCCAGGTTATGAAGGCAGCTACTGTGAAGATGATATCGACGAATGTTCATCGGCGCTCTGTCAAAATGGTGGATCATGCCATGACCATGTGGGGAACTACGAATGCACCTGTCCAAATGGCTTTATGGGTGCTAACTGTGAGGCGAATATAAACGACTGTGCCAGCAATCCGTGTGCCAATGGTGGTTCATGTCACGATCTGATTGCAGACTTCCAGTGCTCTTGTCCACGCGGCACCCGGGGCTTGCTGTGTCAGTATAACGAGGAGGACTGTTACACGGGAGCATGCCATCACAATGGAACCTGTGTGGACAAGGTCAGTGGCTTTGAATGCATATGTCCCCAAGGATTTGTTGGTGAGCATTGTGAAGGTGATGTGGACGAATGTCACAAACTAATGCCTTGTGACCCTGTTGGAACCTTCAGCTGTGTCCAGCTAAACAACGACTACCGCTGCGACTGTAAGCCAGACTACACTGGGCGACACTGCGCCCAGCCAATGAACTTCTGCATGCCCAATCCCTGTCAGAATGGAGGAACCTGCACAAAGGCACAGCATAGCTACCAATGTGCATGTACTGGGGTAGGTTATATTTTTCACATACATTAATTAATCTTTCGATATATATATCTTAAACCTTCTCATTATATTCCGAATTTAATGGTATTATAAATATACTGGGTATATAAAGTTGTGAATTCTAAAAGATGTGATACGTTCAACTTTTCCTTTTTATTCAATTATGCAAAATCTGTTTTAAAATATTTTCATGTAAGAGCTGCCTGTCAATGGCAATGTATATTGATGAATAAGAACAAAACAAACAAACGTTCAATGTGCATTGAGATTTGGTTGAAGCTGATATCTTGTCTCTGCTTGATAGGGCTACTTTGGAGACGTATGTGAGCTGAGTGCCTGTACAAGCTCTCCTTGTCAAAACAATGGTATTTGTATACCTGGTATTCATGGTTTTGACTGCATGTGTGAACAAGGAGTGACTGGCGACCGCTGCGAGATTGATGAGGTTGATGAGTGTGTGTCATCACCGTGTCAGCGAGGAACCTGTCTGGATAGACCAGGTGGGTGGTACTTAGATTAATGGGTTTTTTTTATAGACTGGTGTAGACTTCTGGTGATTAGTGTCATTTATTAAGGAAACTTCAGTGTTGCAGTGCTACCTGCTACATTTAATCCTGATACAACATTCCAAGACCATAGTTCCCTCAACAAAAAGTGTTAATGGTTTTCACTAAAAAATGGGGGGGAAATGCAGAAAAAAGGTATTGCCTAATTATGGTTGCTAGTGCACCCTAATGGTTACAACGGACGCTACATTTATGTTCGACAAGTGTCCTAGCACCAGCAAAAGAGCACTTTCACTATGAGGTACCCATATAGTTATCAGATATGTATGCTTCGTTACTTGAAAAAAAAAAATGATATATTCTTAAATTGGTATGTAATGTTTATGATGTATTTGACAGGTCGCTACGAGTGTGACTGTCCTGTCCGCTACACTGGAGTCAATTGTCATGTTTACGACCCTTCATCCCCTGGAGGCATTGGGACCAGCCCCATTACCACGCCCACACCCAATGGGGGCTCTTCCTCCTGTCCAATGGCAGAATGTGCTGATAAAGCTGGTGATGGAATATGTGATGTATGTATCAAAGATTTGCTCCGCCATTCCTTTTATTTGCACATTATTAAAATTTTGAAAGAAAAATAAATATATTTTTTCGCTTAGTTGCAATTAATTCTTGAAAATTAACTTTTCCACTCAGTTTAATTATTCTTGTCCTGCATTACTTTGTAAAGCCTTAACTTAAACCTAATTGACTTTTGCAGAAAGAGTGTGCTATTGTGGACTGCGAATTTGACGGTGGTGACTGTTCGTTAGGTTTCCTGAAGTTGTGGCAAAGGTGTTCACAGCCACGCAATGGTGTGGCCTGCTACAATGTTTACAATAACTCCCAGTGTGACCAGGGTTGTAACAATCCAGACTGTCTGTTTGATGGTGGGGACTGCAAGGTGAAGGAGCCCTGCAACCCCAGCTACAATCTGTACTGTGAAAAACACTACAAGAACGGACATTGTGATGCCGGCTGTAACACTACAGCCTGCAACTGGGATGGCGGAGACTGCAGTAAGAAACCAAAAATCCTTCCAGGAACAATGGTACTCATTGTCATGAAGACGCCTGAAGAATTTCTTCAAAACTCATCAAAATTCTTGAGAATTCTGGGACAGCTTCTCCAGATAATTGTCAAAATAAAGTTGTCAGAAACTGGAGAGAAAATGGTGTATCCATGGAAACCTAAACCAGACAGTACATTCTCTCGAGCAAAGAGATATGCATTGATGCGTTCACTGCGGTCCGTTCCTGATGATGAATATATTGGGTAGGTCATACATTGAAATGTCAACCTCCAAACACCATATATAATGTTGATATGCAAAGAAATTTATTTCTAACGATAGATTCTTACATTTCCTCTGTCCTACCTGATACAGGATGTGTGACGTCTATAGGTTTATCCTTACTGAATGGTAATATTTTAATGGTGAATACCTGTGTTCAATATCTAAGTGGTGGAGGCTTGTTGATGTGATCAGGGTCTTAATTATGCTTATTTAGAGTGATCTTTGTCTAATTGAGGCATGTTTGATTTGATAATGGTCTTGGTGATGATAATGATCTCACATCAGTTTTACGAGAGGGAACCAGTACATGTTTGCAATCCTTCTGTCCTTCTGTTTGACACTGTCCGGAACATGTATTTAAACCACCTACAATTGCCAATATTTTTCCTCGTGAGATGGCAGAGTGTCGCATTCTGAAATAAAAGGTTTTGTGCCCCACTTGTATAGAGCTTATGTCCATTTTGTATACCAAAGTTTGTCTGGAAACGGGGAATATTGATTTCTCGTCATACTTTATTGTGTTAAGAGTGATCTAATTTAAGGCTTGTTTTACAGGAGTGAAGTACACTTAGAGCTGGATCGCAGTCTGTGTCTGGCCAAGAACTGTCTCAGTTCTGTGGATACTGCAGCAGAGGTGCTCGTAGCCTCCATACAAAATGGCTGGACCCCACTTGTACCCATCCGACAGGTACAAGGTAAGTGACACTCAATCTCTTATTTCGTAACATGAAACTTTTGCTGTATAGCTACTTTCATAGTTGTCATGGAGGCAACAGAACAAGTGATTATATGTACTCATGAATAATTTACACAGTGAGTAGGTGTCTCTGAAGTAAAATGTCAGGTAGCTAACCAGCCCCAGGCATCAGTAAGGTTTAAAACATTTAGTAATGCATAAACTCACCAAAAGGGGTAGCCATTCAAAACTATAACATTGTGTGTTGCAGTTCTTGATCAAATCCGCCCTACAACACAGACACCCGTTGAAAGCAGCATTATTGCACCTGTCGTTGCTGCAGTTTGTGCATTGCTTATCCTTACCTTTATCATCGTCGTCGTGCTGTCCAGAAAGAGAGCCTCTGGTAACACTTGGTTCCCAGAAGGATTCTTCACAACCGCTAGCAGTACCCAAAAGGACACAACCAACTCCTCCAAACGCAGAGTTCCTGATGGGGAGGAGGGAAAGTGAGTAACTTAGCCTTCTTTTCAAAACAACTGAATTTATTTATAAGAGCTGAGAATTGTTAGAAAATATACTTTGCTGGTAAATGTATGATTTAGGTTGTCAGATGTGATAAGATATACACTATATTAACAGGAATATGAAGGGACTATGCGATGGACTTGACCACCATGGCTGTACCTCACCCCCTTGGGACACAGATGACCAGTCGCCCAAGACCAAACGGGTCAAGGTAAGTACAGATTCAACATTCCCTGTTTGGGACAGTGTAGATTTGATGCAAAACACAATAATATGCTTTATATCTCCATAAAATTACAGTCAGAACTATTTAGAACTATGTAACTAATGAATTTATAACTGGTTTCTTTTTTTTTTTGTAATCATATGTAATTTAATGTCTTCTATATTATATAATGTATTTTGTGACGCGTTTTATGCTAATAGCTGTTTATACAGAAAGTAGATTTGTTTGGAGGTTTGATACTGTTGGAAGCCTGTTGTTTTGTTCTACAACTTCACAGAGGATATTGTCGTAATAAATCCTGGCTTATGTTACACTAATTTGTAGCAATAGGTTGGCTTGCGTTGTACAGTATGTAATGGGTTTTCAGCTTGAGCAGGAAGATTCGGAGTATGACCGAGCCTCAGACATGCGTCCCTGGACCCAGCAACACTTGACAGCCGCTAACATCCCCAATGATATGGCCTTGACCCCTCCAGAGGACCATAGTGGAGTTAAGGATGTGGACGTGCGAGGTCCTGACGGCTTCACCCCACTCATGCTAGCATCGTTTCGTGGCGGGGGTCTGGACTCAGGTGTGGATGATGACTCGAGTGGATCAGGATCTGGAGAGAGTGGCGATTCCGAGGATCGCTCCGTTGATATTATCACAGGGTTACTTATGCAAGGTGCTGCAATCAATGCCCAGACTGACCGCACAGGTGAGGCTACAGCAAAGGAATCGGGGAAGGGTTATTTAAATGAAATATGTCTAATGCCTTTTGATATTATGCAAACCATCTAATTCATAAGTGTAAACTGTAGGGCAAGTAGAGAGCTAGTAAGAGACAATTTTATATTAATGGAGACTTGTTGTGGGTTTATAGAGCAATGATTATTATTTCCTGTCTTTTATCCTTTGCAGGAGAGACGTCATTGCATTTAGCAGCTAGGTATGCAAGGGCAGATGCTGCAAAAGTTTTATTAGACGCTGGAGCTGACCCAAACTCAGAAGATAGCACGGGACGACGCCCTCTTCATGCTGCTGTCGCTGCTGATGCTCAGGGTGTTTTCCAGGTATGTGCTGCTATTTTCCACTCTGTAAATAAGAAATTGACAGAGATACCTGAAAAACAATACCCAAAACAATTAAATTGTTGTGGGTTTTTTTGGTATATTTAGATCAGCGAATAACATTTCTCTATTGCATCTCTATTGTAGATTTTATTACGTAACCGCTCCACCCACCTCAATGCTAAGATGAATGATGGCACAACGCCCATGATCTTGGCTGTACGTCTTGCAACCGAGGGCATGGTAGAGGAACTCATTAACGCTGAGGCTGATATTAATGCCTCAGATGAATATGGTAAGTGTTCTGTTGTTATTTTTCATTTTTCTTTAACAATTAAAACCATCAAGTAGAAAACCTTCATAAGTGATTTTATATTTACATGGACTTTGATCATTTCACAGCTTATATCTATGTAGTCTTGAATTACATGCATTATCAAATTCACACAGCTTATCTATGTCACTTTGGAGTTACATAGCTTTTGTATGAAGCTCCGAAGTCAACCAGCTACGTTCTATAATCCTGCAGACTTATTACTTACTTATGTAGTAACATAGTTTTTGTATGTAACTACAGAGTCATCTTAACAATGTGCACTCAATGTATTCTGTTTCTATTTTTAGGTAAGACAGCGTTACACTGGGCCGCAGCAGTCAACAACGCCAACGCTGCACAAGTGTTGTTACAACACGGCGCCAACCGCGACGCTCAGAACGCCAAGGTACATCAACAATCCAATCAAATCACTTCTACCAAAACAACCTTATGGCAATACCTCACTTAAACATTTTTCTGTTTTTGGTGGAATTTATATTCTGTATTATTATTTGTAAGATACATTTTTTGTGTCATGCAGAAAACATATGAGGATAACATTGTTTGTAGTCGGCATCCTTGAGTTACAGATTTATTTCCAGACAGGCATTATCAGATTTTCCTGGAATGCTTACAACCTAAGCCCATCGCTCAATACATGGCCACATTCATCAAATTTGGATGAATTCTTGTTAATCAACTAATTTGTTAATGCTTTTATTTTGGGTTTTTTCCAGGATGAAACTCCACTGTTCTTAGCAGCAAAGGAAGGAAGTTTTGAAACAGCCAAGATTCTTTTGGATCATTTCGCAAATCGTGATATAACAGATCATATGGACAGACTTCCAAAAGACATAGCTCGTGAGCGTCTCCATCAGGATATTCTACAGCTTCTGGACGAATACCCTGTAAACAGTCCAAATGTGTCAATGCATGGTATGCCAACATCACCAAATCATCTTCATTATATGCCACAGAAACACTCAAAACCAAAGTCACGGAAAAATAAAAATAGCAGTCCGGGCCATCCTATATCTCCTAATGGAGTTTCCAATGGACATACAAAGAAAAGTCGGCCCAAAAAGAAACCAGCAAAAAGTGCTAACAGTAATCGTGTGCCTCGCAATAGTGAAGGGTCTTCAGTAGGCACAGTGTCCCCCGGAAACCCTATTGAGTCACCACAGGTGTATGAGCGGACACCACCATCCTATGACAGTATGTACGGTAAATACAGCCTTCCCCTGCCCCAGGGGGTAATGCATGACCCAAATATGTTAGGGAGTGGCCAGTTTGACCAGGCAATGGAACAATCAGAGGTGTTGTGGCACCAGGGCCACATGCAAAACCCCCATGGGGGGCCCCTGCCCACACCACCTCACAACCCCAATGTGGGGCCACTTCCAACACCACCTCACAATCCTCATACACTGCCACAGGCCACATCACCACATAGTATACCCGTCTCCATTCCGACGCCTCCAAACAGTATGCAGTCAAATGGAAGCCCTGCCCATGACAAGATATCACCCATGAAGAAAACCTACCCAACATCCCCAACACACATACAGGCAATGCAGCAACGAGCTCGGCAGGAGCGTGCTCATGACAGCCCACTGAGTAGGCAAAATGAACAATTCTCATATCAAAATACAAATGTGGTTGAGAACATTCCAGTGACAGCACTATACACAGACAGTTATGGGCAGTCGTCTGGTCAGCATCACCAAACAAAGTACCTTGACCAATATCCCACACCCCCCTCCCAACACAGCATGGAGTCCCCACCCCAAATCATCCATGCGCCACTCACAGATCATCACTACCTAACCCCTTCACCAGACTCTCCAGGCCAGTGGTCAAGTTCTTCTCCGCACTCCATCTCAGACTGGTCAGAAGGTATTTCAAGCCCTGACCAACCTCTACAGAACCGGAGCAACAAACCAGTGTATATCTAAGTGTGTGGCCATATGTTGTAGTGCTCGTGTCTCCTAAAGGTGTAATAGTGACCGCTGATGGTGTAGTTATGAAACCAAATATTTACACTGACCTATGGTCAATACAACAGTACTCAGCAAATGTTGAGACAGTGGTGACTTTTCCCAAATACTATTATCTGTGTGTGGTAAGATGTGGGGAAAACTAATCATAGGATGTGTGCTCTCCGTACTAGAGGACAAGGGAAAACTAGTGGTTTAGGACAAGCACATCCTAGGTGGAACCAGTAGCCCTACTGGGTTATAGGGCAGTGTGTATTGAACCAAGTGTACTGCCATCTTAAAAGATGTACAGTTTGGAACCGCAAGCATGCTCAGAGATGTTAAATAGTGTTCAGTGTGCTAGCAGTCCAAACCTCCGATCCTGTGGATCTCTTGCATTTAAACTTGTTTGTCTGTCCTTCATAAGGAGTCAGAACATTTTTAATTATGTGTCTCCCCTACCCTGGGATGTATAACTGGGAGTTACAGAATGACCTGCGTCTCCCCACTGGGATTGGCAGGACTAAATGGGACCATTCATCGTCATTATCACAATCCTCTATGTAGACATGTGTTGAGGCAGCAGTGACTGCCATACAGAGGTGTAATATATATTGTCAGCATTTTAAACATATGTCAGTGTACCACTTTTTTTTATTCAAATGGTTTAGATTGTCATTTCCACTACTACACTGTCAAAGTTGTTGAACCTTTAAATATTGAGGTTTGTTTTACAGAAATTTGTTTCCAATTTTGATGGATTTTTTTTTCTTAGAAGGAATTAAGAAGACAGTGTTTTTACTTTGAAAGTGTTTGTACAATTGATTATATTGGAATCTGTAATAGTGAGATTGATGCCCTCATTCACCCTCCCAAATCCCCACCGGTGGGTTACTATAGAGGGTGGCCACTAGGGGGCATCCTATCGGGTGTATAATTGCAAGTAGTCTATAAATAGATATGACAAGTGCATGCTGATGTCCAGTCAGATTTCTGCACTCATTCCGCAATTGTAGGTAAATATAGCCATGTGATCTCAGTCGAAAATATTACATCTATTGTACATAGTTATTTTTGTAAGTTTTCTACACAGTAATGTCCAGAAATGTCTTTCTGACTTTTAGCCAGAAGTCATCTCATCCCCATTTACCATTATTTGTCGCAATGTGAACAAATCTAAGGCAAACCAAAGACTCACCAGAGTTGTCCAAGACAATACTAGATTATATTGTACTCATGTGTGGTGATGTTTTTTCAGTTTTTTGTTAAATTCTGTTTTCAGATATTAAAATTCTATATTTTTAAGACCAAATAATTGGCTGAATTACTGAAGGATTCAACAGGAATATGATAGCTTTAATATAACAGTCCTCTGTCACTGCTATTTTCTCCCACAGAGCAGTTAATTGTTTATGTATAGTATCTTTATACCTTTGTGCATTAAAGTGCTATAAATTAGACTACAAATAAAGATAAGATAATTCTCTACAATCCTGGTAATCCACGGTACACTAATGATGGGAAGGGGTCAACCCTTTATGTGGTTTGATCTGATTCCAGAGTTTAAAGGCACCCTCACAAACTTCACGAATAACTCGGATATACAATTCCAAACCTCTAGGACCAACTCTCTACTAATGACTGTAAAAACAGAAATGTTTCTCCGTTTTCTTTTCACTCGTGACCAAAAAGGTGAATTTGACATGGAGCAAATGTTGTGATATGTCATTTTAAAACAATGGGATAATGAATTCAACGCAGGCAAATTTGTTTAAAAGGCCTGGTTTACAGAAAGTAAATATATGGTGCTATATATTCCACAGCCCAGGTCCCAGACCCTAAGTTATCTTCGAAAACATCGAAACGGTAAACAATATTGATCATATTATAGAAATACGATAGACAAACAAAAGGTTAAATATTCATGTGGCTTATTCTTTCATCAAATTGTCATTACCATACAGGAATGAGTGTTAAGAGAAATGTTTGAATCGTTTTGTATTGGGGCATGTTTGTGATAACACTATTTATCATGTGGGCGTTTCTGGGTGTGTGTAGGGCTTGTGTAAAGGAATCGCCTATCCCAAACATCATACAGATACTAATATCAGTAAAGAAATATTGCAAAGGTCAAGTTGGTGCATGTTATATAAAATGAAATGCTTTAATGTTTGTTTTATAGCAATGAAGTGAACCCCTGAAAAAGTCCTCAAACGTTCCCTCACACCAACACTTCTAAAGGTCGTAACCCTTGACAGCGGTCACAACATGGTGGACATTATACTTGTTACCACCGCAAAACTACATTTTTATATGTATTTTTTTATCATAAAGCAAATTACATTGATATTGTATTTTAATAAAATTCTGCAATTTATTTTGAAATGCTTTTTATGAGTTGAAGCCCACCGTTAATTTTGATATGGTTTATTACAATACCCAGTCCATATAGAGCTGGAGTGTGGATGGGCTACAAAAACATACTTTTTTATCTTATGACTTTATAGCAAGTTTTAAATGAAATGTGTTTTTATATATTTTCACTAGCATGAAATATGTATTATAATGATGAAATGATGAATTTCTTCAAATATCGAGAGATTTATTACGAAAAAGTATTTGTTACAACTATTCTAGTTATGTGTTTGTCACTGTAACACAGATTTGTGTTATTAGTGTTTAGTTATGTGCCATGAACAAAGAAAGCAGTGTATCGGCTGTTTAACCCCTAGTAGAGGACACTTCTGTCTGTCCTTACTCAAACATTGTAACATTAAATATTACAAAGACTATTATGTTTTTTAATTTATAAAAGTACCATTTCATACAATTAAGACATTAAGAATATGATGCACTGGCTTAGAAAGTTATCACTCTCTTTAAAATAAGGTTGAATCTGGACTCAAATATTTAGGATCTCATTTTCCTTTGAAATAAATTTGTTGTTGTAGATTCAAAAAGTGAATTTTAAAAGTATGTTTGCAGACCAACTAAATTTCAAAGCACAATGTCAGAAGTTGTTGATAGTTTTCTGCAAGAGAAATAAACCAGTTTGAAGAAGCGGGCCGAGAATTGATTATAGAGACATAGGACGATGATGTGTATCCAAAGATCAAATCTGTATTCAAATCAAAACCCCTTCAGAAATTTTTATTTTTTTTATTTTCGAATGGAACAAAAAATCATAGCAATTTCAATGTCTTGATATTGAACAAAACACAAGTTGGTTAATTTCAAAATTGGAGCTTTTGAAGTTGTACGTGGAAGTTGCAGGTTGTTGCCGATCAGGATGTTGTCCTGGTGTGTGGGTAGGGTGAATAGTGCTTTGTTGTGCCTGTTTGTACGCACTGTAAGTACTCCAGGAGGCACAGCATGTTTGGGG